ACAACCCAGAAGACAGAAATCTTCATACTCATCGCCCTGATGATGGAGGCAGTATGACCTCTGAAACGTTGGTTAACATCGACCAGACTACACAGCGGAACAACCCAGAAGACAGAAATCTTTAAATATCGGCTACTTAGTCGTTCATTTTGGATGCAGTGGCTTCCAAGAAATAAATAGGCTTCGTGAGATCTGAAGTTCTCACGGCAGCGAGTACTAAGCCGTCTGCCTTCTTGGTTGTTGCACCGTAGATCGCCCTGATGATGGAGGCAGCAGGGGTCTCTGAAAAGTCGATAAACTTTACCAGAATAAATGGCCAATGTTTTAATGCGCCCCACAGTCTGTTCCTTAGCGTGTCACAGACTAGTGTACAGAAGATAAACTTCTGTGTTAAATGAGGTTGCAGTCTGCAGATATTACGCCTGTGAAAAGAAAAATGAATTGGAAAGTGGGCTTTGGTACTTGCGTCCGTAAGCCAGCGTTGCTGCCAATAAAACATACTTAGATGAAGACAGTGTTTTAAACTGTCTGCGTGCAAGGCATAGAATTTCATGTCCTCGCGTAGTTTTTATACTCAGACCATGACAGCTGAATCATGGGAGTATGGATTAACCGTCTATAGGAAATGCGAGATCCAATTATGCCGATAACCATTAAGTCCGTTTTCGCAGAAATTAGAAAGGCCAATGATTATGAATCTATATCTTCCGGAAATAAATAATACTAATTTCTCAACTTGAGATTTATCCCGGTGGTTATAGAATATAGCCTAATAGCCTACTGGAAGTTGCTTTTCTCTTGTTTGATTTGAATAATGTGTTGACAGTACAGCCGAGTAGACGTAAACTTAACAACCAAGCGACCTTTGAACTTATAATTTAATAATTAACATTTTGTGTAGGTAATTAAACGTTGTATATTAATTTTGAAATGTATAGACGCTAAGTTGACCGACTGAGAAATAATTTAAATGTGTGATGTATATTTGTTTAAATATTGTCAGTCTAATCACAATAAAATTCCTATTGAATATTAAAATATTACTAAAATTAACATTTAAATATTTAAAATGATGTTCTCTATGGAAATGTTTGATTTACATTAGAACATCACTTTTTTACACGACATGTTTCAGTTCTAAAAGAACCATCTTCAGGTGTATAAAATTATATAAACTTAAATATAATTTCTTAAATGCAACTTTTAGTCAGATGTTTATCAGATTTCAAATGATGTTTTCTTCCAGATTTTATAAACAAATATATATTTATCACAATATGACGCAACTTTATCATCTCATGTATGATATAGTTTAATTAATGTCTATCTCTTGATAAGAATCGAGTTAAAATGTAAAACAACAAATAGTCGTGAGATTTGCGTATAGAAACTTTTTTTTACTAACGTCCCATTAACAGTAGTTACGACCGGGGATTAATTACTATTATCTCAATTTAGACTTTATAGACACACGTAAATGCCTTGCCGAATTATAAAGAACTGAAATCTTAAACAGACAAACACAGTATATATCGTTGCTTTCGTACCTCCTGAAACGTCGTAAAATTCCCCATAAAATCGTATCATCTTCCTTAGCGGAAAATAAATTAATGTATCTGTTACGAACTACAGGTTTAAGTAACCATGAATTTCATACGTAATTTTCAATCGTCTTCAAATCTATTCTCACAAGAAATCACAGCTCTGTTGTCTCCACCCCAGAAGTAATAACCACTAAACAATGAGACCATTGTCATTTAATGTTTCACTAATGTTTTTACAATACGAGTACCTACCTGAGACCATCGTCATTTAATGTTTTTACAATACGAGTACCTACCATATAAAATACTGTCCCAAAAATAGACAAAACTGCTAATAAGACTATTGTATTTCATATTTAAATAACGGTCACGCGCGCTCTACTGATGTATCCCATAGAAACACGATAATAGTAACCATGATGGTTGCTATACGCGTATAGAAACTGGTTCCACATCCTCTGGCTTCTAGCTTGTTTGTAATCTTATTTGTTCTGTGTGAGAGGGGCTCTGCCCCATTATGAGGCAGTGCTTAACGCTGATTGGTTACACGACCGTGAATTAGGCGGGGTTTATCGGGGCGGAGTTGCTAATCGGTACCACAGAGAGACAGAATCTGTGAGGAAGGCTTCAGATGTACACGTGTCAGTCCCTGGCTACTGGCTGCCGGAGTGAGTCTTCAGTGCGCATCTGTTGTACCGTGTTATCACTTCAAAAGTGACGTATAAACAAACACAAGTTCCGATAGAGCAAGATTGCTCCGAATATAGACTATAGAAAGATAGAAATGCAAGTGTTTTTACATATAAGTTTACTACTGTGTTGCTGGAGGTATTAAACTGTGATAGAAATTCAAATACAGTCCGCTGTGGCGATCGACACGTTTAAAATCAAGTGGATTTTGAGCGGAAATATATTTGTCTGAAATATTTTCTACGAAGAATAACTGAGAAGGTCTTGAAGGATTTCTACGGTGATATTACAACTACAGATACTGTGATAAATAATCCAGCGTTGTAGAAACATTTTGTCTACAGTAAACGTCAATTGAAATCTTCAGGTGTAATCCCCGGGAAAAAAAGAATTTTTTCAACACATTGAATGTAAATTTCTGGACTGTGAAAGACTTTTGAACATTATCAGTGCAATTTTTTTGTTTAACCCCTTCGTTCGTATGTCAACATGGTGAAGATAGAGGGCCCGCTACACACACTAGTGATGGCCCGAACGCCTCTTAAATCGTCTTTTAGCATCAGCTCCATATTACCAGAGACCGCGGCGTCCACGAGGTCTCAAAGCCCTCATATGAGTCCCACTTTATCACACTGTAGCCCCGACCTGAGCAGCTCGGACAGCGAGAGTGATCTTGATGTGACCGGGGGTGACACCCCTCCTCCTCTGGACTGCAGTACCAACAAAGGCAAACAAGACTCATCTGCAGACATCTCGAAGGCTGAAGGTGAGAAGAAAAAGAATGAGAAGCCTCCGTACAGTTACAACGCCCTGATAATGATGGCGATCCGTCAGAGCCCTGAAAAACGCCTCACCTTGAATGGTATCTACGAGTTCATCATGAAGAATTTCCCTTATTATCGTGAGAACAAGCAAGGATGGCAGAACTCGATCCGCCACAATCTCTCGTTGAATAAGTGCTTCGTGAAGGTGCCTCGTCATTACGACGACCCGGGAAAAGGTAACTACTGGATGCTGGACCCGAGTAGTGAAGATGTGTTCATCGGAGGTACCACGGGGAAACTGCGAAGGCGGTCCACAGCGGCGAGTAGAAGTCGCCTAGCTGCTTTCAAGCGCACCGTGGTCCTGGGGACCGCGGGCCTGTACCCTGGAGGTCTAGGTCCTGCAGGGACTCCCTATCCGAGTCCCTGGGGCCTCTCCCCGCTCTACTGCAACCCCTATCATCGCTACCCTTACCCGTATCCCGGCCTTCTACAGCCACTACCAAAACCCATCGCGACCCACGGGTTCTCTGTCGAGCGTCTACTTGGGACGGAGTCTACCCCAGCCGGACAATACGGACCCCTCCGACTCCAGCATCCCGGACTGTACACGGCTCCAGCTCC